GTCAGGCTTCGCAAGATCCTGCAAGATCCTGCAGGATTCTGCACCCAAGCCCGGGTCATTACAACTCTGGCTCTGCAAGATCCTGCAGGATTCTGCACCCAAGCCCGGGTCATTACAACTCTGGCTCTGCAAGATCCTGCAAGATCCTGCGCTCTGACTGGCCCCCATTTGCATTGACCCCTGTCTGCCTTTTAGCCCCAATTTCGGGCCATGACTAATTATCCGACGACCGCTCGGGCAGATCCGGGCAACCCCAGAACGCTCTTGACGGAGAGCGTCCCGAGGCTGGCAAGCCGCCGGGAACCAACGAAAACGCAATGAAAGGGGGGTCGATGCTTCTCCCCCCGTGCCCGTCCCTCACTGTCGTTGTCCCCTCACTGTCGTTCCCCCGTCTGAGTTAGGGGCGAAGGGGCGAGGGTTGGTGGTGCGCACAAGGGCGAAGGGGCGAGGTGGTGGAGGAGCGAGGGGGCGAAGGGGCGAAGGGGAAGTGTCTGAGTGAGGGGCGATGGGGCGAGGGGGTGGAGGCAGGGGGAAGGCTTCTTGGAAGGAGGCTGCTAAGACTGGGCCGTCAACACCGAAGGCGGGTCCGTCAAGAGACACCAGCACGCCCGAGTCTGGCGGCGCGCACGAGGCGGTGGAGGCAGGGGGAAGGCTTCTTAGAAGGAGGCTGCTTCTTGGAAGGCGCCGACCTTACATCTGCAGACAAGGCCCGCGCCTCATAAGAAGCAGGGGTGCCTCTAAGAAGCCCTCCTCCCTCCCCCCAACCCCCCATCTGCGCGCGGCTGGGACTGGGTAAGGGGCAACGATATGGGGGGGACCAGCTCAGGGAGGATATATCAAGCAGGAATCGGTGGTACATCGCCGATGTAGATCGACGATAGGCCTCTGATAGCAAATCCACAGGTTCCTGGGCGGGGTTGGCCATTGGATCAATGGGCGATTGGAGGACTGAGATATGGATGGGCGAGCAGAACCAGGGATAGTTTTGCTGTGAGCGCGGCTCGAACAACTGGCGTTGCTCTAAGGCCAAGGGCCCTGAAATGATTGAGCGAGAGGGGTGAGAGCATCAAGAGCAGGGGCAGGGAAAGAGCAGGACATCGTCTGGCCCCCGCGGGGCCCCTAGGGTTCTTTCTGAGCCCTCGCGAGCGAGCACGAATCACACACGGGACGTCGTGGACGTCGCCTGCGTCGTCTCCGCCGGCGTCCCGTCGCCGCCAGAGACGCAGTCGACGCCGGCGTGGCATCCGCCCTCGTCGTCGGGACGGGACCGTCACGGGCCGGGGATCGGCCTTGATGCCCGCAACGAGGGCCGCGATCTCCTCCGTGAGCTTCTCGATGGCCGCCGTGGCCTTCTGCTCCTCGTTGGTCAGCACCTGCGGCACCGTCGCGCGCCGAGCCCACCTCCTGCGTCGTCCTCCTCCTCCTCATCCTCCTCCTCCTCCTCCTTCCTCCTCCTCCTCCTCCACATCCTTCCCCTCCTCCTCCTCCTCCTCCTCCCTCCTCCTCCTCCTCCTCCTCCTCCTCCTCCTCCTCCTCCTCCTCCTTCCTCCTCCCTCTCCTCCTCCTCCTCCTCCTCCTCCTCCTCCTCCTCCTCCTCCTCCTCCTCCTCCTCCTCCTCCTCCTCCATCCTCCTCCTCCTCCTCCTCCTCCTCCTTCCTCCTCCTCCTCCTCCTCCCCCTCCCTCTCCCCTCCCCCTCCCTCCCTCCCTCCCTCCCGCCCGCCCGCCCGCCCGCCCGCCGCCCGCCCGCCCGCCCGCCCGACCGCCCTCCTGCCCTCCCTCCCTCCCTCCCCTCCCTCCTCCCCTCCCTCCCTCCCTCCTCCTCCTCCTCCTCCCTCCTCCTCCTCCTCCTCCTCCTCCTCCTCTTCCTCCTTCCTCCTCCTCCCTCCTCCTCCTCCTCCTCCTCCTCCTCCTCCTCCTCCTCCTCCCTCCCTCCTCCTCCTCTTCCTCTCCTTCTCCCCTCTCCTCCTCCTTTCCCTCCTCCCTCCTCTCCTCCTCCTCCTCCGCCTCCTCCTCCTCCTCCTCCTCCTCCGCCTCCTCTCCTCCCTCCTTCTCTCCTCCTCCATCCTCCTCCTCCTCCTCTCCTCCTATCCCCCTCCTCCTCCTCCTCCTCTCCTCCCCTCCTCCTCCTCCCTCCTCCTCCTCCTCCCTCCGCCTCCGCCTCCGCTCCGCCTCCGCCTCCGCATCCTCCCTCCTCCCTCCTCCCCTCCGCCTCCCTCCTCCTCCTCCCTCCCACTCCCTCCTCCTCCTCCTCCTCCTCCTCCTCCTCCTCCTCCTCCTCCTCCTCCTCCTCCTCTCCTCCTCCTCCTCCTCCTCCTCCTCCTTCCTTCCTCCTCCCTCCTCCTCCTCCTCCTCCTCCTCCTCCTCCTCCTCCTCCTCCTCCTCCTCCTCCTCCTCCTCCTCCTCTTTCCGTAGCCATTTTGGCTCAAGATGCTTTGTTCCACAGGGGAACAAGTGGATACCGCTAGTCCGCGGCTAGTGCCAGGGCCTTTGTGCCCGACAGCTTTGTTCATCTCTCCGTGTGCCTCCTGCAGCCCGCAGGTGAGCTTCCCCTCGTCCAGTCTAGCAGCATGGGGAAGCAGGTGGCGGTGCGTGGCTATGTGTCTTGTCCTCATGACGGTTGTCACTACAAGTGGAACTGGAAGAGGCACACGACCTGCTGGCAGTGCGCAGGCCTTCTACGTCCTGTCGGGGGCCAACCACCACCTCGTGATGCAGGGTCGTGGAACCGTGGTCCTCCCACACTACCTGGCGCAGCTCGACCAGGACAACCACCAAGCCCCTTCGTGCGGACGCCCCCAGGACAGTGGGCTCCTACAGGGGCAGCAACTACGGCGGCAACCCTCGGTGACGGCAGTACCAACCCTTTCGCCCCCTCGACCGACCAGTTGTTCGAAGCTCTGCTGCGCCGCGCCCCGCAGCACGGCGAGCGCCTGGCGGCGCTCAAGAAGGAGTTCGAGAACACCCCACCGCCAGCGGCCGCCGCCCCAGTCAAGCCCAGCCTTGAACGTGAGAGAGAGGCTCAGCGGCTGGCAGTGGCTGCTCGCAAGGCCGACGAATCTCTTGCGAAGGCGATCGCTCACGAGCAGGAGTGCATCGACTGGCTGGCACGGGCTCGGGCGACTGTGGAGCAGGCGGCACAAGATGCAGCCGACGCAAGGTTGGCACATGAGCAGCAGCTGGAACAAGACCTCCAGCGCATCAAGAATCAACAAGGAGCTGCACGCACGGCCGCCGACTCCAAGCCCAAGCCCAAGCTCAACCTGTCCAGCTTCCTCGACGAGAGCTACGAGCTTGGGCAGCTCTTCGAGTTCGAGGACGGCGAGGCCTTCGACTTCGAGGACCTGGATTTGGCAAAGGAAGACATCGCGGCCTGGCAGAAGCACAAGATGTCCCTGGCACAGGAGATCAAGCAGGCAATCAGTGCAGCGATTGGCCCAGCGGCTGCGTCACTGGGGGCTCGCAGACAACAGTTCAAGGAGTTCAAGGCTCGCATGGCTTCCAAACGTCGACGTGTGGGAGCTGACGAGGCAGATGCTGAAGGTGAAGATCGTGGTGAAGAACAACCTGCAGGTGGAGACCAGCCTGCAGCCCCTGCCGCAGACGAAGGCCAGGCAGCACCCGCTGCTGGACATCGTGCCTCGGCTCCGGCAGCAGCCTCTGCCGCCCCTGCTGCTGCTGCGCCACCTTCGCAGCCCCAGGAGGCAGCGGCAAGCGAGGCGCCCCCCAAGGCGAAGGCGTCCCAGGAGCGAGTGCAACGGGTCCTGGCAGAGGCCAGGGGCAACTCGCCCTCGTCGGCGACCTACGCTGATGCTGCCGTGGCTCCACAAAAGTGCGGGTAGCACGATTCGACTGTACCCGAAGCCGAGGCGATCTCAGAAGGCTACATCAGAAGTTCGACGATTGTTGCTGCACAATCTTTCAATGTGGGGGCACAAAGCCACCAAGCTTTTTGCAGAAAGTAATGTTGACATCATCATCATGCCTGAGACCCACGTACTGGCGTGCGACACCCAGGATATTTTGAGCACGCTGAAGCAGCACAAATGGCAAGGTATTGTATCTCCAGCATACCCCACGACCTACGTGAAGAAGGCAGGTGGCATTGTACTGGGTATCCGTCAGCACCATTGTTGGTCTTCTTTCCGCCACTTGTCAGACGACCCTGAAAATGCGATTGGCCTAGTCGACGTCAGCAACAAACAAAAGTTATCAGGGCCCCTGTCTTTCAAGGATGTGGTGGCGATTGAGTGGAAGATCGCCAGAGTCTCATTACTTGTGATTGGAGCCTATTTGACTGTCTCAGTGGGGTTGGAAGCACCTATCAATGTTGCAAAGCTTCTCACTATTTCGGCGCTGTTGGATAACCATGCAGGACCTTGGATCATCATGGGTGACTTCAACGCTACCCCGCTGGAGATGGCCACATGGATTCGCAAATGGAATGGACAGTTTTACCACCCACCAGGCATCACGCACACTTCCACGAGAGGCAAAGGGCAGCGCATCATCGACTATGCTGTGGCTTCTCAGGACTTCTCTACACTTTTTCATGATGCGATTCAGTTAGATGCTCAGGGTGGTGACCATTATGGCATGATTTTGGAGCTGAATGTTGCGGCACAACAGTCTGCACGGCGAGTCTTGGACTTACCAAAGATGTTTTTTTGCCACCGCTGCCCACTAAGTTGCAGAGCGACCCCAACAGCAAGCGTTCGAGGAAGAAATTAGAGCTGGAACGGAGACGGCAACAGCGTGCTTCGGAGTACTCGGAAGATATCGAACAAGAGCCTGAACCCGTGTATAAAGACGAGGAGTCCTTGGCACAACCCCAGCAGGCAAGCTCGTGCACGAAATACCCTGAGGAGGCTCGCAAGTTCCTACACCGAGATTTTTTCGATTTCGACTCCGAGGCACTTCAGCAGATATGGCAGTCTCATATTTTTGATCACAAGACGGCCGAGGTCAAGCCAGTAGTGCAGGATTGTCACCCAGCCAAATATCTTGAATGGAAGGTTGAAGACCTGGATAGGCTGTGGATCACCATTGACGACAACACTCTCCAGCATTGTGAGTGGACCCGACCGCCAGATTGGATACAAGACAGCCTCTCGTACAAGTATGATCCCGAGACCGCTATTGAGCTGGGATCAGATTACGGAAGATTTACGTCAGTCTTCGAGAATTTCCTATGCCGTGTACTTGAGGTACCTTCCGATCGAGCTTGGCACTACAAAGGTCGAGGAGTTGCAAGAGAATTCAAGACCTTGCCGATTGCAGCACCTGCGCCAACAAGAGCGCATTCAGATAGTTCAATCAAGTGGTGGTTACAAGTTTCTGGTTGGATTCAGGAGCTTATTCGAGTCTCTACGAATGGGACCCAGCAGCACTTCGAGGAGTTCTCTACTGCATCAGGTGGCAACTCCTCTCCTCCTCCCCCCGTTTTGCTCAGCCCAGTCTCGAAAAAACAAGTCAGGACAACATCGAGAAAAGATTTCTTGGTGCACAGGTTGGCTCAGGCTCCCGCTGACATGCCTCTTTCAGGTTTCGGCCAGGTAATAGGCAGAGATCGGCAGGACTGGGCCAGTACGCTACTCAACATCCACAATCTACCGAGAGAAGCGCTCATCACGATGGGAGCATCAGCAGATAAGATTGCAACAGCCCTGGAGCGCAAGGCAGCCAAGGAGAGCTACAACGTTTTCCAGACCTGGATTCGTGATTCTTTTGCTCAAGGCTGTGGGAAGCTGCATAGATACGTCAAGCCCAAGACGCGGGTGGAGACTGAATACCGCGACCTGGAAGGTAGTTCCACGAGCCTCAAGGATATTTTGGTTCAGAAGAGTCAGCTTTGGCAACGCAGATGGTCTTCCAAATTTCTGTCAGCACAAAGGCTGTATCAATTTCTTCGTCGGGCTCACGCCAAGGCAGCAGCACAGCCTTGGCCAGCTCTCGAGCCCGAGCAGGTCGCCATGACAGTCAAGCAGATCAACTCCAGCAAGGCGGCAGGCATCGAGCAACTGGGCGGTACTCTTAAATATTTACCTCCAGCTGGCATTATTCACCTGACTGGGTTTTTGAACGAATGCGAACGACGAGGAGGATGGCCCTGGCAGATTCAGATTGCTATTGTTGCACTTCTGAGGAAAGGCGCTGACACGGATCGTTCAATTGGCCTCATCCCAGATTTGATACGCTTGTGGAGTTCAGCCAGACAGATTTTTCCTGCTAAATGGGTCGAGCAGATGGCTGGCAAGTGGGACAATGCGATCAGAGGATCTTCCTGCTTGCGTGTCGGACTATTACGAGCCTTTTCCGACGAAGCCATCCGCATGGGGCCCAAGCACACCATTTCGGCTAGTCTTTTGTGGGACATCGACAGTTTTTACGACTCGCTAGAGTACGAGCGCCTGTTCGAGCAGGGCTTGGCCCTGGATTTTCCGCCTTTGATGTTGCTGATGGAAGGACTGGCTCATCTTTTAGTTAGAGTTTTTCGTGAAGCAGGATGTTTCTCACCACCAGTCCAGGCCAACAAGTCCATCATCGCAGGAGCCCGTAGAGGGGTCGATTTTGGAAGATTCTAGTTATACAGTATACTTGAAGCAGTATACAACAAGTACTCACCGTCGGTCATCACGTCGTCTTGGGTTGATGATATCACGCAGTATGCATATGGGTCCGTCAGGTTCCTCTCCCAGGCGCTCACCAAGGCTGGGGCTCTCTTGGGTAGGCTTTGCAACAAGGCGCACTTGGGCATCGCCAGCAAGAGCAAGATCATCTCGGGGGACCTTGATTTAGCAAAAGACATTGCTCGCAAGTTGGCACAACACAACATCAAGATCACTGTAGCGCACAAAGCGGTTGATCTGGGCACGGACAGAGGCACAAACATGCGAGCACGACCTAAAGCAGCAGCACGTCGCAAAGCAGCATGGAAGCAAACAGCCCGAGCACGGAAACTTATTGGAGCAGGCAGAACAGGCAGAGCAGCAGCACGACGAGTGATACATCGAGGATGTTATGCAAAAGTTCAGTATGATGCAGCTGTGTATGGTATGTCCCCTTCGGCAGTGCAGGCTTGGCGCAGGGCTATAGGAGGCACTTTTACTCTGTCAGTCCGCGGCAGGCGCCTTGACACTCTTTTACAGCTGGAGCTTGGAGACCAAGATCCAGCAATCTCGCAGGTATTTAAGATGCTCGACAGCTGGATGGCCATTCTTGCCTCAGGAGCTGAAGCTCGAGCTTTTGCAGCACGCGACTGGTCTCAGCACGTGGCTAAAGCTAGAGAGATTCCTAAACATCGATGGCGCAGAATCACAGGCCCCACCAGAGCTGTAGTAAATACCCTTTTGGACATCAACTGGGACCCCATCGGGCCATGGCACTGGGTTTCTGATCTTGGGAACGTCTATAAGGCTACTCCAGAGGTCCTTGAAGCTGGTCCGCTAGATCTAGATGACATCCGCCAAGACCTAGCCGATTCAGTTCGTCGGGTTCTTTGGAAGCGAGCAGCTAAACATTATGAAAGCGCTGATGTTGCTAACGGAGTGGACCTAACTGATGTACGACAGCAGTTACGACGAGCTAGAGATAAAGATCAGCTTAAGTGGGCAGGAGCTCTAGTCAACGTCTGTTGTGGAGGTCAGTGGGCCAGAGAGAGAATTCAAAGCATCATCAACCCGCCTGACTTTTCTGTTATTTGTGACCGCTGTGATGGTGGACGACCAGAGTCTACCTTCCACCGAATTTGGGAATGTTCCGCGAATGAAGCCCTGCCCTCGACCACCAGCATCGAGGCTTTTGTGCATCGTGCTCGCACCCAGGTGGATTCACAGCCGTCAGTGTGGCTACGAGGCCTCACTCCGTCGTCGTGGACACAAGTTTCGCAGCCGCCAGACGAGACGGACATTTTTGTGCACAGCCACGGCGTCTTCCCCGACGGCACAGACCTGATCGTCGGCGCAGGTGATGCCTCGGGGGGCAAATATTCAGACCAGGCCAGATTCAGGAGAGTGTCTTGGGCTTATGTTGTCTTCGAGGAGTTCGACCTAGCAAACCCAGCTCCCTCCTTGGCCCTGGCAAGGGTGTCCTCGGGAGCCACTTGGGGACCCCAGACCATCAATCACGGCGAGATGATAGCGTTCTTGAGGTTCCTGGAGGAGGCCCCTGTGGGCCGACCGCTCGTCTTCGTCACGGACTCGGCTTATGTCCAGAAAAACGTCAGTAAGGTACTCTTGGATTGCTTTCCTTCTGGTTTTAGGAACGAATGGCGTCGAATTCAGCGGCTTCTTCAAGAGAAGCCAACAAGCATCATCAAGATCGAGTCGCACATGACACCAGATCAAGCTGCGGAGAAAAAGGAGCTTGTATTTGCGTGGGTTGGCAACAGGGCAGCTGACGAGCTGGCTGACCACACGGCCAAGAATATTCAGTTGCAGGCGGGGGAGGTGGAGGCGGTCCAGATTTCTGAGGCCCTGACGCGTGCCATTAGAATTCGTGCTTGTGAGGTTTTCCTCTCGAGATTTTCAGAGGCCTCTGGAGACTATCCCCAGGCCCCGAGAGCTCGCAAGAAAGCCAGAGCCAAGCCGAAACCAGTTGTCCCCCCTCCTCCTCCTCGAGCCTTCAACCCTCGCCCCAAGTTAGCCAAGCAGCTTAGGGAGTCAGCACATAATATGATTCCGGTAGGAGAGGGCCCTGAATCGAGGCTCTTTTGTAATTTGTGTTGTTCGGTTATCTCTGTCAATTCGCACGGTAACATTCCGTCCCAGGAGTTTCTTGCCTCCCCGTGTGTTTCAGCGGAACCCCGTTCGGGATTCGAGGGAGCGAAGACTCTCCACAATGTGTATATCGGTGCCAGGTATGTTGACCCGTCTCATGATATGGTCATGTCTGCCAAAGGCACATACATATGCCTGACCTGCGGCTCCCACGCCATCAGAGCGGGTCAGAATCTCTTCAAGGAATGCAAGAAGGCCACTGCGTCTGGTGCGGCCTATCTTGCCAAATTCACAAGAGGGGAAGTCTAGCTTCCTCACCGTTTGCCTCCCTTAATCCAAGGGCAGGCTACCTCTCTTTTTAGATTGACCAACGGTCAACTGCGTGGTCCTCCTCCTCCTCCTCCTCCTCCTCCTCCCTCCTCCTCCTCATCCTCCTCCTCCGCCTCCTCCACCTCTTTTCCATCCTTCCCTCCTCCTTCCCCTCCGCACCCTGATCGCAGCAGCTGAATTCAACGGCGGGAAGTCACCGCGCAGCGCGCGGAGCGAAGAAACCCGGGATACCCCGACGAAGCGCGCCCCCACTGCGATTCCAAGACGGCGCGGGCGCGAATCGTGACGTGACCAGCCTCCTCGATCTCCCCTCGCCCCACCCCCCCGTGACGGCCGTCATCGCCAGGGAATGATTCAACGGGCCCTCCAGATGCCCCGAGAGGCTACTTTCTGCTCCCAGCCCTCCTCCCCCTCCACGTCCCGCTCCTCTCCTTCCGCGCTCTCCGCGACTTTCCTCCGCGCCCTGCGCCAGGGAGGGGGGCCCTTGTTTCTTCGGTGCATCTGCCTCGTCGGGGCAACTCGCCTGGGCATCGCTTCCAGATGGGCGGGTGGGGGCCCGCGGAGCGTCGAGCATTCACGCGTGACGGGCACGGGAGGGACAGGAGGCACCTCCATCGTGTGCTCGAGCTCCTTCTTCTTATCGTCCGCCTCGTCGAACTGAAGCTCGCAGTACTCCTCGAGGGCGAGGGGGGGGAAGGAGAGGACGACGAGGCAAGCAGCAGGACGGCGAGGGGGCGAAAGCGAGTGAGCGCCAAGAAAGGGAGCCCCTGCTCCTCGAGGAGGATGGGGGAGGGGGGAGGGCGGAGAGAGGGAGCTCAGGGGTGATGAGGGGATGACCAGGTGCTGGGAAGCCTGATTGTACAGTCGGACCCAGGCCAGACGAACACCCCTCGAGAACATGAGACTCGCCGCCGGCCGAAACACGCAGAACATCCAAGGGTACCCTCCCCAGGATGCACCATGACACACAACAAGCACGAAACACACGAGGGCGCCCTCCCCGAACGGACCTCGATCTTGCGCCTCGGTTCGACGGCATGCACGTGCAGAGGGACGGGAAGGATGGGCGATAAAGAACGAGTATAGGGGGCACCGAGAGGGAGGTCCTTCTTGTGCTCGTCCGCGAGCTGCTCCTCCTTCAGCATGGCAACCATCGAATCGATCATGGTGATGACCTTCGCTGGTCTGCGCGGCTGCAGCTGGCCATCGCTCGGACGTCCATTCCTTGTGCCTTTTTCGGTTTCGTGCGTGCTTTTTTCGCCAAATGATCAAGGATGCTCCTCGATGGTCCTCGACGAAGGAAAAATGCACAAGTCCGAGCGATGCCAGGGCAGGGCACCCTTCCAGAACACACAGCTGCGTGGCTGGATGGGGCCAGGATTCCTGCGGTCACGCATCGCTCCGGCCTTCGCGTCCTGGACATCCCTCCGCCCTCCTCCGTTTGACATGCACCCGCGATCTCTCTGCACTCCCCCCTTTTCCTCCTCGGCTTCCTCCTCCTTCTCCTCGTACTCCTCCTTCTCGCTGGCCGACCATGAAGCGGAAGTTTTTTGTGGCGTCGTCATGAAAACACAGAGCGAGGCCTCAAGGAATAGAATACTTCCGCCTGGCCGACGTAGCCGAAAAAGAGAGGCGTAAAGAGATAGAAAAAGACCGTGGGCCCGCGAAGGCACAGAGTATGCGCCAGCCAGGCGGTGAAGTCCCTCTCCTTCGCTCCCTCGTATTCCTCCTCTTCCCTCTCCTCCTACTCATCATCTTCCTCCTCCTCCTCCTCGCCCTCCACCTCCTCCTCCTTCCACTGTCATCCTCCTCCACCGCAGTATCCTCCGTCCGTCAGTTCCTCCAACTGCCCCCATCCCTCACTCTCCATCTCCCCCCCCTCCTCTCCACCTCACTCTACCTCGCTCCCTCCCTTCTCGATCCCTCCCCCCATACATCCCTCCTCTCTTCTCCACTTTTGCCAAATCTTGAGGTCCCGGCCACACCATCCCTCAATCCATGGGCCTCCCCTGGCGACCTATCTAGTGAAAACCGAAGTCACGCAACGACCCCTATCTAGTGAAAACCGAAGTCACGCAGCGATACGGGGAGCGGAAGTGGGAGTGAAAGCGGGGGGGCATTCGTCCCGTCCTATTTCACGATCGACGGCTTCTCCACCTGGGACGAACGCCGGGCCACGGGGATTTCGAGGATGGAGGCCGAGCCCTTCATGGCGCGTTTGAAGGAGCATCTTCCTGAATCGATACGCCCTAAAGTTCAGGAGTTCGAGTTGTTCGGCAGCCGCTCCAAAAGCATCCGCGTGCATGTCACCTCCCACGCAGTCGAGATTGCACTGATCTACGAAGAGTTTTTGGAGAACGAGGCGAACTACTGGAATAAACGCAAGCTGTGGACCTACGCCCAGAGGTCCCCCGCTGACCAGATCCACTATGAGAAGATCGGCAAGGCCAGGGCCTATCTCGACTACAAGGCCAAAGCCTTCCAGCAGAGCGCGACCGCCAAGTGCTCCTACAGTCCCCACTGGGTGTTCACGTGCCACTTCGATGGAGAGGACGTGGAGATGGGATACGCCGATGAGAAGGGGGACGTGTGGTGGAACGACGCGAACACGCAGCGGGCCTTCAACATGAGCTCCGCGGAGATGAACAAGGAGATGTGGAGTTTCAAACGGGCTTGAGGGGCCCGGGCATTCAACGTTTCGCAAGCAACATTGGTAACTTGGAACACTTGTAAAAAAGGGAAGGCGGCTGCGAGCAAAATCTGTAAGTACATCCGGGAATACGTGGGGGATTTTGTGGCCTGCTTGCAAGAGGTTCCTACATGGGGTGTTATCAATGGTTTCACTTATAGCGGCCACACTGTTTTATCCGCTGGCGATTGTGATTGCGCTTTTCTTATTCCTAGACCTTGGATGTCGGAGTGCAAGAGTTTCACCAGTGGGAAGTATTGGTGTGGCGTCGTGTTTCACCGTACGATTTTCTTATCAGCTCATATTTTAGACCATCTTGAGGAAGATGGGCGCGCCAGCGAGGTGTTTCAGGGCACCCTCGGATTTGTTCAAAAAGTCCGCGCTGACAATCAACATATCGATTTTCAAGTTATGGTTGGGGTCGACGCTAACGTGCAGTTCCCGGCCAACTTCGAGTGCTTGACGGGCCCGTTGGTGTATCAACGGAGGCGTCAGTATCCTCAAGGTTTTGTTCGGGTCACGTCGTCGTGGTCAGCTGCTTTGGGGGTGCAGGCGGACAATACCTTTACGGGTCACGAGAATGAGGCAGGCAGGCTCCCTCTTTGGACCCGGGGCGTACACCAGCCACATTCCAGATCTCAAATTGATTACCTCTGTACTTCACCAGGTTTGGCGGGATCGTCGCGAGTGATGCACATCAAAAAGAAAGTGTTCCACAAATCCGACCATCGACCTGTCGTCGGGACTTACCGTTTTCCAGAACCATGGGGGCGGGAATCCACGTCTACGAGTTTGACAGGGTGGAAACCGCTTAACGACATGTGCTTGGATCAATACCGCCTTCATTGTTTACGGCATGCTGACGGTGGCCTGGCAGACATGCAAGCTGGTTTTCTGGAGTCCGCTCAAACCGTCCAGCATGAAACGCGACGGAATCCAGCTTTTAAACTCGATGTCTCTGTCAACAGATTGGTAAAACAAGCCAGGAGAGCTATTCCGAATGCATCGGCAGAGACCCGGAAACAAGCAGTAAACAATTTGCGGCGTCTTCGTCGTAACGCTCGGCGGTGGCGGGGCGAGAGACGACTTGCCGCTTTGTCGCACTTCCGGCCGAAAGTGCCTTTGCCTGTGCGCTTACGGGTCTCCAACGTTCTGACTGCAGACAGGGACGTATGGAGAGAGGGTTTGAAACATTTTGGAGAGAAGCGTTTCGGAGACGCGCGGAATGATGGTGCTTCGCAAGATCGACGGTTGGAGACCCTCGCTAGCGTCAGCCGGAACGTGAATCTTGACGGTCGCAGCCCCCCGGTCCTCAGATTCTTCCACGTCGTCACGGGCAGGGCCGGCATGAAGTCAGGGACCGCTGCTGGCGTGGACGGCGCGCCGCCGGACATCTACAAGCATCTACCTTATTTCATTGTGTATCGGATTTGGAAGCTTTTTCAGACACGGTATTTGCACAACGATTCTGACGACGCGCCTAGTTGGAAGCGAATCGAATACTTCGGCATCCCCAAACTGACCAAACCGATCGATTTCGAGGAGTTCCGGTTCATCTGCAAATTGGATTGCTTCGGTAAGTGGTATGCCCGGTGCTTGCAGCTCCTCCTGAGGCAAGCGTTGCCGTCGAGCCCGGTTGCGACATTTGGATTCAAAATTGGGTTCTCTTGCGATGACATCATCTCCATTGTTACGCAGGCCGTGACAGTAGCCCGGCAATGGGGCTTGCCTCTGGTGTTGGGCACGCTGGATGTCAAAACCGCTTGCGACACCATTTCCCACGAGCACTTGGCGCGAATACTATCGAGGAGAGGCGTGCACCCCAACTTGGTACGGGCAGTTATGCGGGAAATGTCGAACATGTCGTGCACGATGTCGCTCCCTGGAACAATTGCATGCGACCCGTTCGCGCTCGAGGTCGGCGGCAAGCAGGGCGGCGTGGACACTCCGGATTTGTTCAACAGCATGGTCGAGAGCGCCCTGGAGCCAGTGATCCAAAGTTGGCGAGTCCGGCACTTCGGGTTCCCCTTTGGCGACGAGGGCGAGCAGGGCGGGTACCTGAACCACTTGATCTGGGCGGACAACTTCATCATTCTGGCTGCTGACATCGACCAGTTCGAAAGTATGGCCCAAGAGCTCACGTCCGCCATGGAGAGTATCGAATTCACATGGAAAGAATCGTCCCTAGAAGTTATGGCTTGCGGGGCCTTGGCAGAAGAGAGCATTCGTGCGCCCGCCGTGCGGCAGACAGGGAAGAGTGAGTCTTTACTTTTCGCAGTTGTTGATCATATTGTTCTTCTGGGTGCTCACATAAACTCCAAATCGGAGACCGCCGCAGCACTGGAACATCGTTTGGCCAAGGCGGAAGCGCACTATTGGGCCCACGTTGGAGCCTTTCGGGGCGGTGGCACCATCAAGAGCAAATTGAAGGCGTGGTGCACGGGTCCATCGGCAAGTGTGCTGCTGGGGTCGTGCGCTTGGCAGGTGAGCCAGTCTTTGTTGCACAAGCTGAAAGTTTGGGAGTGGCACTTCCTCCGGAGAGCATTTCGCCTGAGGCGCAAGCCCGGCGAGGGCGCGATGGCAGCCAACGTCCGCACTTCAGCGCTGATCAAACGGTGGATGCACGTACACAATGTGAAGCCCTTGCACATCCGGGTGCTCCGCTCAGTCTTCAAGCACGCCTGGCGAGAAAAGACTTTTCCCGGACATGGTGGGCACAATTACCTGGCCATGAGCAGGTCCTTCCGGTCTCGCGAGTGGTGGGAGCATTTCAAGTACTTCGGGGAATACCGCAAGCGACGACGCCTGAACATGCTGCATTCCTCGGGGGGGCAGTTCTCTCATCGGGAGGACGTGTTCTGCGAGTATTTCGGCGTCGACTGGCGGGTCAAGAGAGACGAATGCTCATCTCTTGTGGATTGGATGCGCAATTTTGTTGCCTTTGCCAATCACATCTGTCAGCTGTAGGACCTACCGGTTTCTACCCCGCCGCCAGAGTCCCCTCAGGAGGTGTCGTGCGAGGCTTCGTGCAAGCGCCCCCGAGTGCAGAAGTACCGGGTCGAGGATTTGCCTGCCCGCCACGAGAAAGACGGCGTCGACGAGGATGTCATCGTCTGGGACACCCGGGCGAAGAGGTTTGTCACTGTCTGCGACTGTCAACCATTAGTGGACGTGGTCATGGGCAGAAACCTTCCAGCGGGGTCGGGCAACGCTGCGGTATTTGAGAAAATCTATGGCCAAGTGGCGAGCCTATTTGACAACGGTTGGTTGCCCTACCAGAGTCACCAGGACCCCGTGCTGTGGAGAAACCGCAACCACAACGCGAAGGCCGACCACATCGCCAACGTCACGTTGAATGCCGGGAAGTCGTGGCACCAGGAGTACCCATTGCCACCGGGCCGCCTGTTATGCGATGCAGTCGTGGTGACGCACTGCGACGGCGGCCGGCGAGGGCCAGGCTCCACGGCAGCAGCGTGGATCGTTGAAGCTATGTGGCCGGACGACACTCTTCAGGTAATCGCTCTCTCTGGCGCGCACCTGGACGACGCTGCCGCGACATCTTCGTTCGATGCTGAGGCGCTGGCGTTGCAATTTTGCATTGATTTCATGTTTCACATCAACCGTAGAACGTAAAGCAGGGCCTCGCGCCAACCAGCTTTCAACTGTCTGTCCCGGCTGGCCGTGCACGGCTTTAGGCTGAACCCAGAACCCAGAACCCAGAGGAAGGAGGCGGTATGAGGGCGAGAGAAAGAGAGAGGGTGGGGGGCGAGGGAGGGCACAGCAAAGACGAGGAGGACTTCTTAATAACACTCACGAGAACCCTGTATCGATCTGGACCTCCTGATAAGTCAAGCCACGTGGTCTTCCACTGCCATCCCGCCTCCAGCTCAACAGGCCAAGCCCATAAACCCAGCACAGCAAGCCGACGACGACAGGGGAAACGTGGAAAGCGAGCGAGAGAGAAGAGGAGGCAACAGAGCGGAGGGGGAGGAAGGCCGAACAAGGAAGGGAGCGGGCGGTAAAGAGGGCAACAGCTGAAGGGGGATTAGACGAGCGCGTTCCACTACTCGCAAATGGCCTGGATCCCCCGCAGAGGATCTACGATACATTACATCAAAGCGGACATGTGTCTTTCGGACGTTTGTGAGTATGTGCGAGTAGTGGAACGCGCTCGGTGAAGGATGGGAGGCAAAGGGACAGTTTGTCAACCTACGCAGCTGGCCCGGGGATGGAGGCATGCCATCACAAGATACTTCTGCAAATGCTCTCCGAGCTCAGACTAGACCAGTCCAGCGGAAGACGAACCACCCGTGCGGCCGCTGACCTGGCGCCTGGCGACCGCGAACGCAACAGGCGGCACAGAGGAAACAAACTTTCGAGGAGGAACAGGAGAGGGAGGTGGATGAGGACGGAAGGAGGGCAGGAGTACCGAAGATGATGTTCCCCCGTGGGTGGACAGTGTCCTGGGATGGGTACGTGGGGCCCACGCCTTCATGTGGCCGCTTGGCGGCCTCGGGGGCACGTTGGACTCCTTCGCTGCTCTCCCATGTCCTGGCCATGCTCTTCTCTCGAGCGGTCGCACGTTGCCGACGCCCGCCTTCGAAGGCGGGGCACACTCCTCCGCCAGGCCGCGGAGGACACCATCCTCGCGAGCTGAGCACCTCCTCCTCCTCCTCCTCCTCCTCCTCCTCCTCCTCCTCCTCCTCCTCCTCCTCCTCAGGGACCTCCTGGAAAAGCACAGGGACCTGGCAGTGGGTACGGACAGCGCGGTTCGGGCGGTGCTCTCCGTCCGCGACCCGGGGTGCCAGGCGGCGGAGCCGGGGGGGGATGCGCTCCCGCTCACGTGCCGCCCGGGTCCCCAGTCGCCGCCCACGCAGTAGGCGTGGTGGTTGTGTGGCCCCCTGCCCCGGGAGTCTCCAGGGCCACTCCCAGCGGATGTGGGCGCAACCAACCCAGGCGCTGCCCGGCCAAGACCCGTGAGGTTTGACTCGAGGGGGGGGGGCATCCCACCCGAAGAACACTACTGCCACTCGACCCAGCAGGCCCAGGGACGCCTGGTATCGCACAGACCACGCTCCACCACAGGGGCAGGTGAACCGAGTCTGGATGGCCATCAGTGAGGTCTTCATGCTGCACGCTGATCCAGAGGCCATCTGGGGCACCTCGCTGCCTGTGATCACCTACGCCTTGGCCCTACGCTCGCACGAGGCAGGCAACAAGGAGACCGCCAACTCGGCAGCGTGAATGGCCGCAGCGGGAGAGGCGTTGAGGCATCAGGCAGCAGCCACCCTGGCAGAGGGAATCCGCCGACCCTGTCGGCGTGTGTGAGGGGCTTGTCCGTTCAAGTCGTCATCTCCGTCATTCGTTGGTCGTCGTCTCTGTCGTCCCCTTTCCCTGCCTCCCCCCTTTCCCTGGGCTCGTCGAAGCTCCCCCCTTTCCCAGGGACCTCCTCAGCGCGCCAGCCAAAGCGAAGTTGAGCAACGTCGTAATTGGGTCGAAGGGAAGCCCCGGTGGGGGTCGGGGGGGGGGGGGGAAAGGGGGTCAGATACGACGCCCCCCCTGGGAGTCCCGGAGCCCAAAAAAGCCCCAAGACGGACCAAGAGTGACCCAGGAGGCCCCAAAGACAGTCCAAGAGAACCCCAAGACGCCTTGCCTCCAGACGGCCTCAGAGGCCTGCAAAGCGCCCCAAGCGGCCTCCAGAAGCTTTCCCACGAGAGCCTCAAGAGGCAAAATCCATGGATTCCCCATACGTTTTTGACAGATTTTGGCGTTCTTGCCTCTTCCGCTTCCCGACGCGCCAAGATTGCGCAAGAGGCCCCCAAGATCGCCCCGAGACGGTCCAAGAGGCCCCTAAGAGGGTCCCCTAACGGCCGAAGAGGGCCCCAAGACGGCCCAAAACGCCTCCTAGACGGCCCAAGAGGCCGCCAAGACGGCTCCAGGAGAGTACCCGGACGGGGGACCCGAACGGACATTTCGGGCTCTCAACCCCAAGAGGCCCCCGAGAGGCCCCGAAGAAGCCCCAAGAGGCCCCAAGAGGCTCCCAAGGGGCCCCCAAACTGCCCCAAGACAGCATAGGAGAGCACCAAATTGCCCAGGAGGCCTGCCTCCAAGGGTGCCTCGAGACGGCGCAAGAGGAGCTCTGGACGGCCCAAGACGGCCTCAAGAGAGCCCAAGGCTGTCCTAAGAAAGCCTCTGGCCTCCTCCTCTTCCTCCTCCTCCTCCTCCTCCTCCTCCTCCTCCTCTGCCTCCTCCTCCTCCTCCTCCTCCTCCTTCTTCTCCCTCCTCCTCCTCCTCCTCCTCCTCCTCCTCCTCCTCCTCCTCCTCCTCCTCTCCTCCTCCTCCTCCTCCTCCTCCTCCTCCTCCTCCTCCTCCTCCTCCTCCTCCTCCTCCTCCTCCTCCTCCTCCTCCTCCTCCTCCCCCCCTCTGCTCCCCCTCCTCCTGCTCTCCTCTGCCTCCTTCTCCTCCTCTTGCTTCTCCTCCACATGCTGCTCCCCCCTCCTCCTCCCTCATCCACCTCCTCCACCCTTCCTACACCTCCCACTCATCCTCCGCCCCCTGCCCCCCCCCTCGTTTTCATCTTCGTCGTTCTCAGGGTCGGCGGCACTGGCCGTAAGGCCTTCGCAATACACAACCCGGATGACGACGACGAGGCTCAAACGGCCATCGCCCCACCCGACATCCCCGGACCCTGCGGCAAGGACGTGGAAACTTGCCCTGGACATGCCTTCCGGAGGATCCCCCAGCCCCGACCCGCGTCGGTGTTCAGAAAGGTCGCCAGGAGGCCACAGCTCAACATTGCCCAGACCGAGGTCCCCTCGCCATCGTTGAGGCACTTGACTCTCCTGGCGCACTGGCCACCCAGCACGGGCACAACGCGGACGATCGCAGCGGCCCTGGACCTGTGGACGCCCTGCGCAACTCCCTCCAGGCTGGGCGATGAGCCTCCTCGCAGGATCCGACAAGGCTGCCGACGTGCCCGCCACATACCTGGCCGAGGCGAAGCAGGCCAGCCGCCTGGACGAGGTCGCAGGACTCTCGGGGGCGTCAAAGAGGGGGGCGTCCAAGAGGGGGGGGGGGGGCGCAAAGCATGGCCGGCGGCATGTGCGCGGCCCCTGGGGGGGAGGCCGGGGCACGCAGTGAAACGAGAGGCGCCATGAGATCTGGGGAAACATCATGGCCCACGCCATGATACCCCATCCCCCCCCCTGGTCGTCACCCCCCTCCTTTCCACCCCCGAGATTCCCAGACGCCGCGGTGCGGACGGCGTCCGGGGAGGAACGCGCCACCTGCCAGGAAGCCTTGGCGCTCTGACCGCGGCGGGACAGTCCTCGAGACCACGCGGGGCCATCCTCCGTCGGAGCCCGGCGCGGGGGCCGAGACCGTCAGCGGGCACGAGCGGAGCTTCCTGGACAAATGTCGAAAGAGTGTCCAAAGAGTGTCGAAGCAGTGTCGGGCGAGTGTCTCCTCGGGCCTGGCACGTGCCCTGGATGTGCCAAGGAGACCACCGAGAGGGCTACTGGCCAGATCGAACGGCCAGGACGCAGCTTGCTCCACGCATCTGCACGATCGACCCCGTAGATGGACAAAGCCAAGCTCGTCCCTGCCACGCACGAACTGGCCGCCGACCTGGACACCGACGACAGTCCGAGCATCATGCTGGGAATGCTGGATGAGGCGGGGCATCTTACCGAAGCCCTGACCGTCGTCTCGCCTCCTCGCTCCCTCTGGCGGGCGGGTCCTGGCAGGAGGAGACGTCAGGCAGCTGTGCCCCACGGTGGTCTCCGAACGCGCAGCCGCCATGGGACTCACGATGTTGTTGATGGAGCGCCTGCAGGGTTCCTCGGCCCCAGTTCTGTCCACAACCTTCTCCTCCGAAAGCACCAAAGCATCCTGCAGTGGGCCTCACACTGCCTCGATGGGGGCAAGCTACTCTCAGGGCTGAGGGGCCCCATCAGGGAGCGCCACCTGGTCACAGGCCTGCTCTGGAGGAAAGCCAAGCCCTTGTCGCAGAGGGAGGCTGACGAGGCTCGCGCCGCAGAAGGGCTGGGGGACGGCCCAATGCCGCCCGGGCTAGGAGGCTTCAGGAACCCCACCCACGGGGCCGAGGAAGGTGATCGCATCGGGGTCCTCCTGGTGCATGCACGTGGACTCCGATTCCCACGAGTTCTCCACGGCCATGGCCGAGGCCTATGCCGACATCAAGGAGGCTGCCACCATCCGTGACCTGATTGCCGCATGTCAGGACGACCCGATCAGGACAGGGCGCAAGGTAATGGTCCCCTGTGGCTACAAGGCCATGCTGCCCCTGGTCCGGCAGGGCTGGCCGCTTGCAGGGACCGAGTTCCGAGCCACCTACGACGGCAGAGGAGAAGGGAAAAGGGGATGGCAAGGGCGAGAGGAAGGCCACAGGCCCGGCGGGCAGATCTCCGGGTCACAGTCGAGCACTACCCCAGGAGACCTCCTCCGCCGAACCCTCGCCAGCCAGGTCTCGGACTCCAGCCCCCAGGCTGGCCAGCCGAGGTTCCGCTGGCGCAGCAGAGCATGCAATCTTTCGGCACTCCGCCACAATGGCCAACGGTCTC